TTTCCAAGTCAAGTGTGTCCAAAACTTTCCACTCCATAGTACAGGCATTAGACACATCGATAGTCCCACAATTTCTAGGTCCGGATCACTTGACAAGAGAACAGTTGCTCGGGCACAATACTGTCTTTTCAGAAGCATTTTTTGGAGATAAAGCCACTGCCATATTAGATGGCACCTATATTTATATCCAGAAAAGCTCCGACCACAAGCTCCAGAGAATGTCCTACTGTGGCCAGAAGAAGAGAAACTATCTCAAATTCATGAGCATCGCCTTACCAGATGGCTACATTCTGGACACAGTAGGACCATTCACTGGCAGCGAAAATGATGCTACAATTACAAAAAAAGTCATGGACAAGCTAGTTACTTGGCTACAACCAGACGACAACGTTGTCGTTGACCGAGGTTTTAGAGATGTCCTACCAGTTCTCGAAGCCTCTGGCCTCAATGCTAGCATGCCGTCATACCTGAAACCCGGTCAAAGTCAACATTCTGACGTCCAAGCAAATCTTGACAGAACTATCACCAAATCGAGGTGGATTGTGGAATCCTATCATGGTCGTCTGAAACACTGGACGTTCTTCCGAACGCAATTGGTGTCTAACAGCTTTATCAATGTCATCGAGGCTTTGCTTCGAACCGTCACAGCCTGTCTGAATGGTATTAGAGGACCGATCTACCAGAGATCTCCAGAGAGAGATGCCAAAGATAGGCTAATGGCTGAACGTATGAAGGACCGTTTGACAACACCGAATGGTTTAGCTCAGAGAGTCAAGACAGATCCGGATCTATCTAGACGGGCAAGGTCCGAGTTTGTCAAGATGGATGCATCTTCCGTACTGTTTCCCCGTCTCGATCTTGATTACTTGAGAACCATTACGTGTGGAACGTATCAGATATCTCTGGCTCCTGGTTACATCGCCGAACATTTAAGTGATGACGGAGACTATGAGGTGTGGCTTTACCAGCACTCCCCAGACCTTCTCCGATGTCAAATACATTCTCGACACAAAAGCCAAACGAAATATAACGTTTGGATACGGTTCACCGTTTCACCCGATGTTGAGGCCCCAATAAAGGACTACTACTGCCAGTGCCCAGTTGGAGAGAGAACGATGGGAATGTGTGCGCACATCTCCAGTATCTTGTACTACCTTGGGTATTACAGGACGCTGGAAAACCCTCGACCATTACAACCACAGGTAAAGAAATTCCGACAAAACTTGAAATAGTTTTCCATGCGGCAACGGAGTGCATATGTCGAAAGTATGTTTGGGGCTCGATATGAAAGATCCCCGTTACCATGTGACTAACCAAACTTATAAATATAGGTATTATACAATCGCCCGTAGCTATGAACACTCCCGTAAATGCGAAAACCAACCAAAATCATAAGGAACACGTTTTGTTTGTTGTTCTGTCTATTTGTCAGCCAATGTCTTCAACCACGGGGACTTGTGAAGTAGCCATCTTGGATTTTTTTTATGAAAAAGTGTTTCTCTCACTTTTTTTCATATCTGTGTACATATTCTCAACATACCGAGCAAATACTCTCGTTTTTTTGTTAATTATCTAAAGAAAGTCGAAAATCGGCAATTCAACCATAGGCTAATTCAACCCAACATTTGAAAATGTTCCACCACTTACATTTTGATGATTTTTCCTCTCATCAATAGCATATTACGTACTGTTTAATAGGATAAAAATTGGTTTGCATCCAACGCCCATAAAAGGGTGTATTCTCTAAAAAACACAGTTTTTGTGTCTAAAATGTTATCATCGAAAATGGCATTTTTGAGATTGTTTCTTCCATAAAACAGCCAAATGGCGCGATGGAAACATGATTTTTTGTCACAATCATGCCATGAATGTATTCTTTACGGTGACCATCATTTGATTAGATTTTCATTAATATTTTACATAACATGCACATTTTATCAACACTTAGACAGCTTCTGAAAGGTACAACTTTGAGGAGCCATAAAAAACAAACCAAGTGACCTAAATCGTTATACTTTATAGATTTGTGACCACAACGGCATGGGCAATGCACCACCAACAGGAAATTTGAATCAGAGAAGGGGCCGTTTTGGAAACCGGCCCTTTATATCTAACTTCTCGATCAGGAGAAATGGGAAATGTGACCTTTATACTTTGAAACTTGAACACCAATGCCCACCAAAATCTAATCAGATATAACCTTTATTTCATTCGGTTGAAAAACTACAACCGGATAAGATTTACTATTCAAGAGGATTAATCATGGAAAATTAAAATCACAATCCCGATAAACTTGAATAGATTCTTTCAGATAGGGGCAGTTCTGCCACCCGTGCGAAATTACTGAGACTATTGAAAGTCATGGAGATGGGTCATTACATCCAAATCATATCCAAATTCATACTATGCGTTATATATCAGTACGTATTAAGCACTTTTGGATCATTTTAGTCACTGATGGTTCGTATTCATCCTTTCTGGACCTTTTTTAATATTTGGCATTATATACTTTTTATCTAAACATGAATTCTTTCTATTGTCGGAAAGGGGCATTGTGTCAATGTTTTTTTCAAAATTTTAATAAATTTTAATGCATGTCAGAATAGAAATGAATTTTACAAAAGCTTTTACAATTTAGCAATTTCCTCTCATGAAAACAAGTTTATCATAAACAAATAGATTCATCAAATATTCTGCAAAATATTCAAGACTGAGATGCAACAAGGAGGGAAAATATGGTAAATCAATCATAATTGTTTGAGAATAAAGAAGAAATAGTATTAAGTCCCACAAACCACCAGGTTTCAAATAATAGGACTACATGTAACAGATATTCGGTACAAGTACGACCAGTCCCTTTCCCTTTGCGTCAAAAATTATATTGACCATCTATATCTTGGATATCAAAACAAGGAGAGGTCCATTTACGTTTCCGTACATCTGCTCAGCTATCACGATTTCAATACAATACTATTATGAAACGATTCATACGTAAAGTCTAAGTAAAGCGACCGAAATAATGAGTCGAGCGCTCGAGATCATACCTTAAATGTACCACCTATCATGCTGAGAAGCAATTGATTTTCCCGCCACCAGACGCAGGGATTATCTTCGGTTTTTTTCTGAGCGAGCGGAGTGATCTCTGTGATGGGCAACTTCAGTTTTTTCACATAAAAGTTTCAGAGGGTACGCACTCATTTGTTTATGCTTGCATACGAGCTACATATCAATCAAAGTTTAAATAAATTCGATTTGTGCGTTCACTGATTCTTCTTTTAAACACCAGAAACGATTTGAACAGTATTTACTATTTACATCGTAAAGCTACATGTTTGTGAAACTAACTTTAAAGTCAGATATGTGCATCAAGATACATATGATTATCGTATCGAATGTATTGTGCTGTGAAAATACATTTTACGGGGTACAGGGTACAGGGTATCGTAGTGCAAATTATAGTAACACCTGGGCCGTTTTCGTTTAAACGGTCAAACCGATCGGACCACTGTTGTTCGTTTATTAAATAAGGTCGGACCTAGTAATCTGATGCTGCTTTCAGGCGAGCCTTGAGAAAGCCTTGCAAGGCCTGCATACACATTTGCAGGTCCGCCAGGATTTATACCCGAAATTGTTACATTTATAAATCGTGTTTACGAATGTAGTCTACTTACTCTGTGAAAATAATGTTTTGTAAGATATCAAGATACCTATGAAATGCATGTGTGAGTGCACATGAGAACGGCATACCACGCGATAGCCTCTGGTCACATATGTATCTGACATATAAATATACCGTGAGTTAGCGGACTGTGGAAAGATGTCCAAAGTGTACATGACTGAGGGTAATTTGGTTCCATTAAAGAACAATAAATTGATAATTTTGATATCATATTTTTTATTTTTTTCCATCATTTTTGTTATATGTAAACAGAGACAACTGTCTTTGTGTAAATGTCATCCCTCTGCAAAAAGTTCCGATTTTTTTCAAAAAGATAACTCTCACCCGGATCAAAGTGATTGTTAAATGTAAAATAAATTAATAAGAAAGCCATTGTGTATCTTTTGTTCAATTTCCCATTCTATATGTATAGATCTTTGTGTCCTGTTTGCTTTTAGCTTGTAGATAATCACTTTTATCCGTACAAATTCAATAAAAAAAAACCACTTTGTGTAACGTGTGTTACATATTTTGCGATAAATAAAATATTTGTAGGGTTAATTAGAAATGCTTCTTTTCATTTTATTATTGTTGTTATTGTTCTGAACAATGCCAGTCAGTTTTTGGTATTTTTTCCAAAAAAGTTCCCAAACTATCAGATTGTTTAGTTTTTCATAAAATCAACTCTACATAGTTGCATAACCATTATATGAAAGTTTCAATGAATTTTGCTGGTTAATTGCGAAAGTGTGGAGCCACCTTAAAGCACTTGGTCCTGGTTTTCCGTCTGGTATGACCCTGAAATGCCAATTTTGAGCTCTCTGATTTTATCAATTTCGGACTATAACAAAACAACAGCGCCGCCGTGCGTGGAATAGCAGAAAACTGTCCAACACTCCTGTATGAACATTCGGATCTCTCTGACTTTATCCATCACATTTTGCTTGCAATTAATATCCCCATTTGTACTTCTACGAATGGTGACATCACAGACAGCAGGTAACCAATCACTGCGTGTAAAGTATGTTAGCGAGTCAAACAAAAAAGAAAGACTATTTATATCCATGTTGAAACCCCTCAAAATGGCTGGTACAGCTACCAATTCTAAAAATGGTAGCAATAATTATGATAATTATATCCTTAATTTAAGTAAGGTCTTAAAGAATGTACTGAGAAAAATGGACAAGTGAGTTATGTGACTGTCGAGTCTACGAATATCTCGTCATTTTACCGTTACTGTTAATAACGAAAGCGTAAGTAAACATGCGTAAAGTTATTCAAAATATCTTTCATGTTATCACATGTTTATGACGCATATACATGTATATATATATTATCATAATACTTTGTCTTGGCAAACGTTACATGACTTCATAAAGTGTTGGCGACACATTAACGTGAATCAAAAGCAGCAGACAAAATCTGACGGTTTTTGTACACTACTCGCTTACTATGGATACCCCTACATATTTTTACCACGCGACCACTGTGGTAAATGAAGCTTCGATAAAAGTAGATATATTCTAAAACCACAGGTACACAATCCTCTCGCAACATGGATGCGGTTGGTACCCAACTTCCCTGACTTGGTACCAGCCGGGGTGTGGTTCTGTGCCACACTCTACAATGGAGGTCTGCCACAATTCTCTCCGTATGGCGATAGACGGGTGAAGATTCCATTTGCAGGTGTAATACAACAACTTGGAGGAAACGTTAAGCTATTTAAAGATGTTATTGATCGACATTCTAACGGAAACACCTATGTCAAGTTGATGCTTGTGAAGGGAAACGACAATATTGAACTATTTAAACACATGACGGAACTGGACACCGCCAACAATCCTTGGCTAAAACTGTACGGGGGAAACGGGGTTGCGAAAACACCAATATGGGTGGAAATATACGTTCCGTACCCGATTGATGTCAGTAACTGTATCTGGGAAGAAGGTTTGTATAATATACTTCTCCTTTATAATTCTTTTTTCACTATTAAATAATTGTTTCGTACATATTTCATTTATAGTTATGGTTTTAAAAAAAAAGGCTATACATACACACCATTTTGAAGCTGTTTAAGGTTAATCCTTTCAGCTTTCGGATATAGTTTACCAGTAAAGGTTCGGGGTAAGACTAGGACGAATGTATACCACTTAAGGTTTTTCAACACAGGCGACATCGAAACAGTCAAGATTATATGAAGACTGTGTGCACAATGCTGGGACCATCCGCTTTAAATGAACTAACCTGAACACGGAAAACCGGACACTACCTCCGATCACATTATACTAACAACGGGCTAACTATATGCTTAATGTAGACTGGATAATTTAACGTTTTCCCCAGAATCTGAGGTTCGTAAAAAACACCGACGGCTATAACGGATTTCGCAGAACTCAACAAGATAGATCTACGCATAGTATTAATACAAGTAGTATAGTAGTATATAGCAAACATGGATATACCCTTCTCTGCTCATTCCTCATCCCTATTGTTCTGTTAGCGTGACGTCGTAATTAGCATATCAATCAGCTGGAATTTTTCCTATGGTTTAAAAAAAGGATGAAACATTCTGGTATGGTTTAAAAATAGCAACTGACAGGAGACACATGTCTAGATGCGCCTGGGTGGATATGCAGGATAGGCCTGACCTAATTTGCATATGAATGACGTGTGACGTCATGGGAAAATCCCAGGAAGGGGAGAGTCGTGGAAAATGGTAACGTCAAGGAAAACCCGAGGGGGGTGGGGGGGTTACGCATAGTATTAATATAAGTCTTCAGTTAGAGATATGAACATTCCTTTAAAATCACCCCCTCCTATATTTGTGCGTCCGTATTTGTATGACCCTATTTGTTGTGAAGACGTTTAACCCCATACAAACTGTCTTGCAGGTCCCCACCTGATGATGTGTTGACCGATATATATATATATGTAAATTATTATTGACTATTAATTATAATTCAAATGCAGCATATAATTGTATGTTGCTTTTTTATCAACTGTACTATTTAGAAGGCAAGACTGACCATTTTGATTAGTAAGATTTTTTATTGGATCATTTCTTTGTTTATTGCAGTCCAAAGAATATGACGGAGAAAGAAGGACTTTGAAGAATATCCACAACAGGAACTCTCGCCAAAGGCGCCTTACCTTGTGTGATTCTACACCAATGCTATTGAACGTTTCTAATCTTTCACTACGAGAAGTGATTCCGAATTAATTCAATATTTAATATTTATTCAGAGTTAATATAATATATTTACCGTAAATTCCGTGCAGTCCTTTCCATTACAATCAGAATACACAAAAATGAGTAATTAACAGTAACGACAGGACGTGACTGGATTCAAACTAATGAAAACTACCTTGATAGAAAAACTTTGCAGAAGAAAAAACGTATTGCAACCAATCACATGACAGGAAAGAACGAATCGGAACCGAACAGGAATAGAAGTCACTGACGATGCTCTAGTAGCAGCATGCATATCTTTAAAGAAGTAACACAAAAGAAAAAAACCAATCTTTTGTACACAAGTAATAAAACTGTTAGAAATGTTTCATACTTTCGATTAAAACCTGTTTTTTGGATGGAAAATGTGTTTCCGACTTTTAATATATTAATGATATTTCAGGGAGCCATCACTATTTTTTCTTTTATAAGACTGCTGAAAACCTAGCTCCTTGCTACCGCAAATATTTTAGGTTTCTACTTGACGTACACATCAAATCTATAGTTTTTGGTTCTCTATACCGTAACGTAATTATTTGATGCACATCGTGATAATTATCAGGTGTTTCAGCAGTAGCCTACTGTACAAGTGTTGACAATAATTTGCTTGAAATCAGGAGTTTTAACAGGTATTACGGCTGCTTCTAGTTGATTTTTTTCTAACCTATCAGAGCGTAATTCACTTTCGTTAAGAGTTATGTGATCTCCACGTTCTTCCTACGCCACGGTTGACCGTGACTCCACGCTACACCGTTGTCGACATCATACCATTAGCCTACGACTACTATTGAGTGTACTGAACGTATTAAATAAGTTTTAATTAGAATTGCACTCCTTGATTTAAACACGTGACTACATACTAGCAGGATTAATAAAATGCGTGTTTTATCAGTGAATTTACGTAACTACAGTATACTTTTACACAACAAACGCTTTGTCTTATATATATGTGCCTCCGACCACTGTTTATTTCACTGCTGAAGCATTTACAACCGTTTACAAACTAAGCGAGTACTCTACAACCAAGCAAAGATCTATCGTAAATATGACTTTCGACACATTTCCCCAGCTGATTGATTGACCGAATAAGGTCTTATTATGATACATGAATGGCGCGCTAGTTGTAATGCATCCACATTTCAATACAGAATTGATTGTAGTTAAGTTTGTCTGTCAAAATCAATAACATATCAAGAGAACTTTTTTTAAAGATTTATCAGTCTTCGCTAGATATACGGTTCCAATATTAAATCGCTTGAACAATGTTTAGGTCAAATCTAAAAAAAAAAGGTAAAGTAAAACAATTTCAAACTGTACACTCCATTCTGTTATCGTCACAATGTACAGCCCTGTCCTGTAATCGTCACAATGTACAGACCCGTCCTGTAATCGTCACAATGTACAGACCCGTCCTGTAATTGTCACAAAGCACAGACCCGTCCTGTAATAGTCACAATGTACCGTCCCGTCCTGTAATCTTCACAATGTACAGCCCTGTACTGTAATCGTCAAAATGTACAGTCCCGTCCTGTAATCGTCACACTGTACAGTCCCGTTCTGTTATCGTCACACTGTACTGTCTCTTCCTGTAATCTTCACAAATGTACAGTCCCGTCCTGTAATAGTCACAATGTACAGTCCCGTCATTTAATCGTCATACTGTACAATCCCGTCCTGTAATCATCACACTCTACACTCCCGTCATATTATCGTCACAATGTACAGACCCGTCCTGTAATCGTCACAATGTACAGTCCCTGTTCTGTAATCGCCACTCTACAGTCCCGTCCTATAATCGTCATATTCTACAGTCCCGTCCTGTCATCGTCACACTGTACACTCACATCCTGTAATAGTCACCATGTCCAGTCCCTGTTCTGTTATCGCCACTCTACAGTCCAGTCCTATAATCGTCACATTGTACACTCCCGTCATGTAATAGTCACCATGTACAGTCCCTGTTCTGTAATCGCCACTCTACAGTCCGTCATGTTATCGTCACAATGTACAGACCCTCCTGTAATCGTCACACTGTACAGACCCGTCCTGTAATCTTCACAATGTACAGTCCCGTCCTGTAATCGTCACAATGTACAGCCCCGTACTGTAAGCATCACACTCTACAGTCCCTCCTGTAATCATCATAATGTACAGACCCTCCTGTAATAGACACAGTGTACAGTCCCGTCCTGTAATCATCACACTGTAAGGTCCCGTCCTGTAATCGTCAGACTGTACACACTCGTCCTGTAATAGTCACTATGAACACTCCCGTCCTGTCATCGTCACACTGTATAGTCCTGTCCTGTAATCGTCACAATGTACAGTCCCGTCCTGTAATAGTCACCATGTACAGTCCCGTCCTGTAATCGTCACGCTGTACAGTCCCGTCCTGTATTCGTCATACTGCACATACCCTCCTGTACTCGTCACAATGTACAGTCCCTGTTCTGTAATCGCCACTCTACAGTCCCGTCCTATAATCGTCACATTGTACATTCCCGTCCTGTCATCGTCACACTGTACAGTCCCGTCCTGTAATCGTCATAATATACAGCCCGTCCTGTAAAAGTCACCATGTACAGTCCCGTCCTATAATCGTCATGCTGTACAGTCCCGTCCTGTAATCGTCACAATGTACAGCCCCGTCCTGTAATAGACACCATGTACAGTCCCGTCCTATAATCGTCATACTGTACAGTCCCTCCTGTAATCGTAACAATGTACAGTCATGTCCTGTAATCGTCACACTGTACAGTCCCGTTCTGTTATCGTCATACTATACAGACCCTCCTGTAATCGTCACAATGTACAGTCCCGCCCTGTAATAGTCACACTGTACATTTCCGTCCTATAATCGTTACACTGTACAGTCCCGTCCTGTAATCGTCACAATGTACAGCCCGACCTGTACTCGTCATGTCCTGTAAACGTCACACTGTACAGTCAATCGTTCATTAAGTCGTTATAAAGATAAGCTGTCGACGCATGATATTATTTTCAAAGGTGACAATATGTTTGTCATTTCATCACAAAGTGACAAACGGACTATCTTTCTCGAAAAGGTGCATTTTACGGCCCCTTTACAGAACGGATAGATCTTATTACTTAAGAGTTTCAGAAATACTGTCGTATGAATTTCTATGATATTTTTCAAATTGTTGGAGTTGGCGAAGAACTGACACCAGACCGATTCTTAGGTTTTTGTTAGAATTTATTCTGCTAGATTTTATTTTGCCTAGAAATGTAAATAACTTGAAAAAGTGAACAACTTTTTATACGGGTTTCCTGCCTTTTTCCGATTTTCAAAATACGCTGTCGACATTTATACATGCACATAATATCGTTAAAGAAAACATTCTTTTAGTTTTGTTTTATTTGAATAATTTCCAAGTAAGCCCTTACTTTACTTTAAAATCTTCAACTGTTTACCACACTATCCAGTAATAGTGTGTACATTACATTGGGAGAAGGGTAAATTTTGAAGTTTTCGTACGTGATTCACATTATATTCAAAACCTTTGTACATTAGGAGCAGATATTTAAGTAGATGAAATTGATCTGAAGGTAGTATATCATTAATCTACATATACATGTCATCCTTTACAGAAAAATAATGTTGATCCTCAATTTTTTCCACTGTGCGTCAACCTCGGACGTTACGACATTGTGAGTGTTCATATCAGCCGCAATAGAACAAAGCAATCTGTTTTCGGTTTTCCTTAAGAATTAAAACGAAATAAAAATGCAGGTAACACATCTTGAACGATAACATCAATCGGCCATTGGTCAGTGTTCCTGGATCGTTTATAAATGGTTGACGTTTTGTAAAATGCTTGGCTGGATTGACGTTTGTTACGGCACGATTTCTCACCCAGACACGATTTCTCACCCCAACTCTCTATTTTAATAGGGGATGGATTTTGTCCGTGGTTTCATAAAACTTGCCTAAGTGAACATGTAATAGATAAGCTGACATGATTTCAAATGAGTAGTAGTTAAATGCACAACATGCCTGATATTTATTGGTTGATTTATCTATCAATCTATTATATACAATGTATTGCTTTTTACCGAAAGTCGATCTAAAAATACATTGTATGACTACTTGTTTCTATGCTATGACTATTGGACTAAAATTTCAAGGTTTTGTCAATATAAATAAATGTACTTCTGGTCTGTATAGCATTTACAAGTGTTTTTTGTTATATAATGTTGTTTGAAACGTTTAACATGTAAGACCACAGTTACCTTAAAAGTAAGTCAAGTGTTCCGCAACCGTTCAAGGTATCTGCTGGTCAAATATTAAAACTTGGCACAGTTGGTACGTAAAAATAGTTGATAGCCTACTGACGTACTATACCACAGCTTCGAGGCAGGTGAGTAAAAATATTTGTTATACAATAAAACAAGGTAACTTGAAACTAAATAAAAAGACCACAACAGGATCCGAGAAGAGACATATAAACAAACCAGTGTTCAAAAAATACTGAGACTGTGCTAGGTGTTGTGGAAAGTTTAACGCATTTTACATCATATTATGTAATACCTGTCGTAATGTCTGTAACCTTGTTGAAGGTCAACAGCTTTCTAAACTCCAGTGAATATGTTTTAAATTATTTATGCACTGGAATGCTTCAGCTGCAAATCAGATTCAAACAAAATCCGATAATCTTTGTTATGATAAAGTGAACCTTATTTTTTTAAATTAAACCATATGTATTTTGTTCACATAGATTCAGTGAGGCGGCAGGCCGGTAGACATTTACGGTGGCCCGTTAGAGCTATACTGTGAAAATGATGTATTAATGACTGCCACTAATTTTCTCGAAACGAGGCCGCAAAGTGCGGCCTCGTTTATTTATCACACGGAAGTTTATAAATCTATAATTTATTCAATTACTTTTGAAATACGCAACAGAAGTTTTAAAATATCTACAGAGATTCAATTAGACGATGAAAAATAAAAGTGTTGCCCGATTCATACAATGCACGTGCGCGCACCTTCTTAAACACATTCAAAGGCAACCGGTTCACTTAATTGATCCGTTACGATACAGTTTTGGTACGAAAATCTACACCTCATCAAGCCAACAACAGCTGGTCACTGTAAGTCAGTTTTTCCTCTGAATTTAGTGTCCTTAAACTGTCGCTCGGTGTCCGAATGCTCCGTGGTATAATGAAAGTCTCCGCGTAGAAAAACAGAACCGTAGAAAAGCAGAGACACAGTGGCGAAGGACAAAATTAACCGTTCACCAATAGATTTATAGGGAACAATGTCGACTAGTTGATTCACTTCTCATTCAGTCAAAGAAGGCTTATTATTTCGAAAGAATTGAAGAATGTAGTAAGGACCATAGACTCAC